CTTACAGCAAGATACAATTCCAACATGCCTAAAGGAAACAAGTGGAAGACCTCCATTTGAAAAAGCTTTCCCTGAACGTCTCAATTTAGGAAAATAATTCGCCATTGTCTGATTTTCCGTTTTTGAGAAAGGTAATTGAGTGTAGTTTTGTTCCATCTGTAGGCATTCTTGAAAGCAATGGGGTGTCACAGTTGTCCAGTCACAAGTTATTAATGTGGCCCATTGATTTCAGCCAAATTGAGACCATAGTTTGGAATTAATGAATGACAAGTAATGACATTACTTATGACATAGAGGGTAGCAAGAGAATAATGAAAATCTTTGTAAAAAAAACATCTCAAACAAACCAACCCTAGTCTCGTCAGTAGTTTTGGGGTAACAAGTAACGTTTACTTGATATTTTTTTCTTGTTATTTTTAGAGGCTAAAATGCTTTGGGGGGCATTTAAAGGACATCACCTCCACATTTTAAATATCTTTTTGTTTATAAAATAGCTAGTAATACAATGAGAAATATAGACTTGCTCATTTTTTGGGCAGCAACAAGTTACTTTGGGAGCAATGAGTTCTGCAGTAAAGAAAAAAAGTAACTTTCCATGCTCTGACTGAGGCATGAAAACAGGAACTCTTAGGAACAGGAAAAACATCTTTTCAGTTTGACTAGCAATAGTGTTTATTGAGACCTATAATTTTTTTAAAAAATAAGTCTAATGCGTGCGCATGTCCTTCTGTGTCGAGCTGGATGTATAACTAGACTACTGAATCTGAGAAGGTCCTGTATGAACAATCTATCTGTTGTGATGATTCTGGGATAGTTCATTCATGCATGCAAGGAATCATCTATGGACATGATTATCACCAACATATGAACTTGCACATGTCAAATCACCCATAGACACAGTTGTATTATCTTGGCATAAAGCTGATGCCTGTGCTACTCTTTGAAATTTGCGTTTTCTCTTTCCTTGCTGTTCATTTGCATTGCTGGATTTTTCTCAGTTCATTCCTAAAAGAGCATTGCGGATGACTGATCTCTTTATAGAGTATTGGTGGGTTTTTTTTAAATGCATAGTTTGTATGTAAGGGAAATGCTACACATCAAATGCAAAATATATTCTGTTCGCAGAATGGGGATAGGCTGTCTTCTTGGATCAATTGGCTTCCCTCCCCTGCTGCTTTTACAGCAAGGATGGAGGCTGCTGCTTGCAAGACTGATCTTTCCATTTTACATTTCTATAATAAATCTGCAGTTGGTTGGCTAAAAATCCTCTTTTCTTCTATCACACCCCACCCCACCTTCACCATTTGTAATAGATATCCTTTCCACAGAATGCTGTGCACATGAAGATTTATTTCCATATTATAAATTTCTTGCATGAGACTGGAAATATTTTTTTCTTGTAAATTTACCACAGAACAGTCGTTTTTGGAAAGAAGAAAGTTATTCCTCAAGAAATAATTTACACAAATATTTATCAAACTTTTGGGGGGATCCTACATTGATATATGCCCTATACTCTTATGAAATAAAAAGTATTAATGATTATTCACTTCTTATTTGAATATGGTCAACATTTCTAAGTGAGCATTCTCTTTAAATATTATTTATTTTATTAATTTATTGCTCCCTCACTCCACACACAATATTGGAACTCAAGGCAGCTTTTGCATTCATTATCCAAGTATCTATTCTCTCGCTTTATGAAAACTACCATTATACTATCCTGTGAATCAAAGATACTATATTTTATGAAGCAAGAAATAATAATAATACAGTGTTGCTCTGGTTTCCACATTTTTAAAAAATCAAAACCAGTGAAATCCTAAAGCAAATTACCGTATTTCTTTTTTATTGTTGCTCAGTATGAAACGATTGTCCATTCCTTTTAATTTTAACAAACAAAGGGCATGGTCATTTTATCATGCCCTTGTTTTATACTTTGCCAATATTGCAATAGCCATGTGTCATCCTGGATCAATAGCACTCTGAATGCTTTTGTTGTGTTTGAAAATATTTAAATTAAAACGTTAAGAAAACATCTCCACAAACCAGTCTTGTATCTTTTTACCTTGACAAGATGGTATACCAGATACGAAACCGTGAAAGCAATTGTAATGTGGTGTCTTAAATATTTGAGCTATGATCCAGAGAACCACTTGGTGGTCTCCACTGTCATATGTACGACGAAGGTAACCATATGGTCCTGTCTTATAGTGTTATAAGGATTACTGGGATAAAGTAAATAAACTTCTTTAAGACTTCTTAAAGTTGCGAGCCAGCATGATGTAGTGGTTTAAGTGTTGGATTAGGACTCTAGAAGACCAGGGTTGGAATCCCCATTCAGCCTTGGAACCCCCCTGGGAGACTGGGCAAGTTCCACTCTTTCAGCCTGGGAGGAAGGCAATGGCAAACCCCCTTTGAACAAATCTTGACATGAAATCCCTGTAATAGGATCACCATAACATGGAGTCAAATTGAAAGCCCATAAGAAGAACAGCAACATATAAGCTATGGCTATATCAAACATTTGTGCCATTTTCATTACATGGCATTAAAGCAATCATAGTATTTTAAGTATAACATTTATTCAAGTGATCATCTTGTGCTCTGTGCACAAATCATAATCCATAAAGACATTTTGTTTGCTTCTTTTAGTTCCGAAGTGCTTTTCTTTTATGGTGCAAAAACCTGTTAGATATCTTTACAAAATCTTTTTCCACCATGTAAAGTTATTGTCACATGTAACAACAGAACAACATCTAGTGTAGCTGTGATATTATTATAAAAAGTGTTATTTTCAAAGTGACTCATGAGCAAGAGTGACAAAAGTGATGTGAAATGCAGTGAAAGACAGCCGACTGCTGTTGTCTCCAGTTGTGGAAATTAAAGTCCAGTGAAGTCAGTGTGCTGTACTAAGTGAACAGCCAGTGTGCAAGTGATACAACCAAGTAGAGGGTACAGAGGATAATCCAGTCTATTCTCTTTATAGGTGGCTTGTTACCTTTCACATGGAGGATGGCACTTGAGGAGATTGTGCCACTAGAATTTTTAGCCCGAACCACATAGAGGCCAGCATCTGTGTCACACACCTCCTGAATGAACAAAGTATGCTTTGTATCCTTGTGTAAGAGCTCTATGCGCTCATCTCCAGTCAGTTTCTGGCCCTTCTTGTACCTGAAGCAGAGAGTCAGTTTTCAAATCAGGTTAACATTAATGTTGGTGGAAACAAAATAATCTGTGATGTCAAACAAACTCTTACAGATTAGAACTACAGATTAGAAGGAACCACAGTCATTAACCTTGGCTCCCTACTTTTTAATATTTTACAAGCAATATTTAAAGGGGGAAACATTAAAGAAGAGATGAAGTTGAGTCCTAATCCAAAAACGTCTGTTCTTAAAGCACTTCTGCTGTGATCTTTGCTTGGCTCCATAAAAATCAAAGCAGAATTTAAATTTATATGACAACATTAATTTTACATCCTGTCCCCCAAAACAACAAGAGAAACTGCGAACTGAGATTTGATTTTCTCCTCTATATCAAACTGATTACATTTATTCCTAATTTATATTTGCTAAATAAAGAGAGGAAAATCAAGCTTCAGGATGAAGATTCACATTATTGCCATTTGAGGATCTATCCTCATAATGAAGTTTTACAAAATTTTGTGCCTGTTAATAGAATGGTGGTCTCCTGTGCCCAGGCAAGAAATGAAGTGTCCCTCTACCAGTGATAATAATTCTGTGACCCTGAGAAAGGGAAATGAAAGCCAATGATCATCAATTTTCTGTTTTCAACTATGGATGGCCAACGTGAAAACAACTGATAGTCTTGCTATGTAGCGCATGGCACGTCTGTGCAGTCTCATCCTTGACTGGCCTCTTTTTTAAAATCAGCTCATTGTTTAAAGACAACCACGTACAAAGTACATGTTGAAAATGCTGATTAACAAATGCTGGAGTTAAAAGTCAGGGTAGAGGACAGGAGCACCATGGCTCACTCCTACAAGCACCTGCTATTTGGAATTACTTTCATGGTAAGCAAATAAATGGCACTGAAGCTAATTACTTCCAGCCACAGCTTGTCTGCTTGCACACTATCTTAGCTCTAAGTGTCACTCAAATATAAGATTCTTATAATGAGTTTTTCTGTGTAAAGCAGGTTTTGTTACCATCACCATTATAGCACTAGGTTCCAGACTGGATATTTATTGAGAAAATGTCTTTTTAAACTGCATTCATAACGCAGTGACATGAGGAAGATCGTTCAGTCATAAAAGTTTATTTCATTTATAGTTTGAAGAACCTACAATGACTTTTTTTTTGTATTAAATAAAATTGTTTAACTATTAAACTCTGCCTAAAGCTGGCAGCAACATTATTCCAAAGGGAAGATGACAGAATATTTTAGAAGGAAAAAACAAGGAATTTTAATAACGGGTTAGTGACCAAGGCACAACACAGTGACAGGTTTTGCTTGTTTAATTTGCCTTTCAGTTAAATTCTAATTATCAAATTCTATTCAATGTAGGTTAGTTTCTGATTTCATAGTTATTATACACACAAAAAAGTCTCTTTCTCTCTCTCTGGCTAATTCAATTTGCTTTCTGTGTGCAGTTACAAAACCAAACTAAAATATCTGAAGAGTATGCTCTGCTCCAAAAGAGAGGCAACTACGGGAGAAGTGGTGGTGGTGGGGGAAAGATATATTCTTTTGGGATTTTTAAAAACCTTACTAAACATGGATTCCATCCCCCTCCCCAAAATTCACCATGAACTCCAAAGCTTCCATTTTAGGACTGAAATGTATCAGTGTTTCTTGCACACTCGCTCTTCTCCTCTGGTAAATTGATTGGCAGAAACCTATTGTCTTTTGTACAGGTTTTGCTAAATATTAGAGTTCCAAATTTTTGTGTATACATATAAAATATACATGGTGTCTGGTAAATCTCACAAGATCTGAATATTCCCTATAAATACAGGGAAATATGCTTTCACAGAACCATTGTGGGGTAGTGGTTTGAGTGTTGGACTAGGAATCCAGGAGACCAGGGATCAAATCCCTGCACAGCCATGGAAATCCACAAGATGACCTTGGGGAAGTCATATTCTCAGCTTAAGAGGAAGCAATGGCAAATCTCTTTTGAATAAACTGGGACATGAAAACCCTGTGATTGCTGTGCCTTAGAGTTGTCATAAGTGAGGAATGACTTGAAGGCACACAGCATCATTAAATCTTTTCATAATCACTCCCAAACATATACAACATCCACTTTAGTCTTAGGTTTTTTTTCTCATTGCAAGTTGATATTAGGCCCTCCCCAGAGGTCTGGGTCCAAGGCAGGCTCAGCCTTTCTCAGGCTTAGGCCTTGCCAGGTATAGAAGGAGCAGAGCCCAGGGTCTTTAAGCCATGCCAAATCCTGGGTGGATGTGAATCCAGCCTGAGTAGACAGCAAATCCAGGATAAAGTAAATAATATTTTAATTCCCCCCCCCCTCCCCAGTTTGTGGCCAAGACAGGCACTGGTCTGAAAATGTAGAGGACAGCCACATGGATAAGCAGCTAGAAAAGGATTTTTACTGCAGAAGTCACTTTTAGTGACTGGAATGTCTTGTTATGAAAAAAGGATGTTTCATCATATCTTAAAATATTATTTTGAGTTGGGTGTGTTTGAATAATGTATCTGAAAACCTCAATATTATATGGCCCTTATGTTACCTAGATATGATAATAATTAATTTGAGCTTCAGCTGGAAATGCAATAATGTTGAAATGTGATGTGATATGCAGGTGTTGCTCTAATTTTTCACACTGATGCGCAGTTATATTTGACTCAGTAGGGATGTCTCTATTTATATTTAGGTTTTCTCATTGTAAGCTACCCACCAGGTCAGTGTAGGCTCTGGGAATCCTGTTACTTCTACTTCCAAAGTCACTGGAGAACCTTCCATGACAGTTACATTAGACAGAAGTTTGGAGAAGTTAGGCGCCTGTCCAGATAGGCTGACCATGCTGTTCTTTTCAGATAGATTTTTAATCTCTTCTCGGGTGACCATCTGCCTCTGACAGCTTCTGGTGACGTCTGATTGAAACAGGAGATCTGAGAATGTATTGGGTGAAGCATGCAGTCTATCCTGGTTTTTAGTAAAGTTATTTATGTCATGCAATTGTCTCTGTGGTTCTGTCATGCTTCTTTGAACTTCATGGTGTTGCAAATGGGTCTGGCACACTTCACTCGTCATGCAATAGGCAGACTTGGTCTTGATCGTGCAGGGAACAGGGCTGCCTTCAGGCATTTCTGGTGAACTAGGAGCAAAAGGGGATTCAGCTTTGTATTTTGAGTGGTAGCTTATGGTAGAGGAGGAAAATCTATCTAGCTCATCTGACATACATTCCTTTCTGTGACCAGGCACATCACCGTAAGCAGCAGAGGTTAAGGGATCAGATTCATCTGCCATTCTTTTACTGCCAGCATTTATCTGCATTTGCACACTATAAGAGCTGACATGCAGACTACGCGAACTACAGCAAGGTGGCTCTTCTAGGTCTGTTTCAGAATGTAGAAGATTGGATTCTGGTGTCTCAGAAAGTGGAGGCAATGAGATATCATCAGGGGATATACACTCATATTCATCATCTCCAGAGGGCATTTCTTCTGCCAGGAGCTCAGCCTGAAAGCTATCCTCTTTGGCAGGAGACAAGAGTTCGGTGTCCTGCGAAACACAATCCTCACCAGCTGGGCAGATAGTTGAAATATCAGCCAAAATCTTCTCTTCCTTAAAAACAGAAGAAGAGGGAGTGGAGGAGAATCTGAGAACAGTTTACAGAATTAGCTATTGCTTTTATGATAATATAATTCCTGAAAGCATACTGATGGAAAAGGATTCGCACAGGCAATAAGATGTATCTATTGCTAGCAGAAACCATTGGTTTACACCACAAGGATTCCATTCCACTCAGACCCATAGTGAGCACCACTGGTTACCCTACATATGACTTAGCCGAGTTTCTGGCCACACAATTACAAACTCATATTGTGCAACCCCCCATTACATCAAGGACTCAGCTCACTTCATATAAAAAACCAAGAACCTTGAACTCAAACCTGGAGACATGCTAATCAGCTTTGATGTGGTCTCCTTGTTCACCAAAGTCCCCATAATGGACACCATGGCACTTATCCAACAATTATTCCCGAAAATCATTGCAGCCCTGTTTGAACATTGCCTCAGCACAAGCTACTTCCAGTGGGACAATGGAGATGGGCAGAGATGGGTAGCCATAGGAAGCCCTCTGAGCCCCGTGATAGCCAACCTTTACATGGAATTTTGAAAAGCAAGCCCTGGAAACCCACAACATGGTTCTGATATGTGGATTACACTTTCATCATTTGGAGCCACAGAGAAGAAGATCTGACTGTTTTTGAACCATCTGAACAACATCCACCCAAACATCCAATTCACCATGGAAAAAGAAAAGGAAGGAACATTGCCATTCTTGTATGTCCTGGTCATCCGTAAGCCAAACCAACATTTGGGCCACACAGTATACAGAAAACCTACACACACAAACAGATATCTACACAAGAACCCCAGTCACCACCCCGGACAAAAAAGAAGCACAATAAAAGCATTGGTAGAACAGACAAAAAGGATCTGTGAACCCCATTTCCTGAAAGATGAATTGAAACACCTAGACTAGGCTCTACAGGCTAATGGTTACACCAGCTCAGACATGAGAAGGGCTGCCAGATCCAGAAAAACCCAGAGGAGTGAAGACACCCAAAGGGAAGGTATTTCTACCAGACATCAAAGGAGTCACAGACAGAATTGGAAAAGTGGCGAGGAAACACAACTTCCAAATGATATACAAACCTACCAAGAAAATCCAGCAAATGCTGCGCTCAGCAAAGGACAGGAGAGACCCTCTCTCAGACACAGGAGTTTACCACATACCATGCAGCTGTGGACAAGTCTATATAGGGACTACCAAACTCAATTCAAACACAAATCAAGGAACACAAGAGACACTGCAGACTGGGTCAGCCAGAAAAATCAGCAGTAGCAGAACACATTATAAATCAACCTTTGCATAAAATGCTATTCGAAAACACTGAATTTTTGTACCATGCCAACAACTATTGGGTCAGAATGCACAGGAAAGAAGAAACTCTTAAAGTAAAAAATAAAAAAAAATGGTTGCCAATCCTGAAAACCATCAAAATGAAGACCCAGCATGTGCAAATGAAAACCACCCAGGGTCAGGGACTTTCTCAGCAAACAAGGGATCACTAATTAAATAGACACCATGAGATCTTGCCATTCAACAACAGAACAACACACAGATTAACATGTAAATCACCTTCTCTCAACCAAGGGTCACACAGTATGTATATACCCCACTCACTTCCATGCCAGCATTCTCTGAAGATGCCAGCCACAGATGCTGGTGAAATGTCAGGAATAAAATCTCCTAGAACACAGCCACATAGTCCAAAAAACCCACTATAAAACCAAGGTTATTATCACTGGGCTTTTCATTTCTCTCAGTAAATATAAACCCTACCAGCAGTTCTATAATAATAATAATAATAATAATAATAATAAATTTATACCTCGCTCCTCTGTTAAAAACAATCGGGGTGGCTTACAACAATTAAAATACATCAAATTACAAGCTAAAAATCCCAAAACCCACCCTCCCCATTAAAAAAGTATTAAACTAAACATCAATAAAATCTACACAAATCTTAAAAATCACATAGGGTATATTAAACCAAGCAGGAACAAGCCAAGAGCTCAGAGAAGACAAGAGGCGCAGCTCCTGAGGCTGGGATCTAATTAGGAAAGGCCTGCCGAAAGAGATCCGTTTTTACCCCCTTTTTAAAACTACTCAGGCTCGTAATCTGACAGATCTCGTCACCCTGAGGTGACCTTTGAATGTATACCATATGCCATCTCAAGTGCTTGGGTTGATTACAATTTACTATAGAAGTGGGCAAACTGTGAGGTGTTGCAGGCCGGCCCTGAGGGTGGAGTAGACACACTGCACCGAAAGGGTGTGGAAGAGCCGCAGTGCCAGCTCTTAAGGTGGCCTTTTGCCACCCCTAAAAGGAGTGGCATTTTGCCGCTCTTTTAGGGGTGGCAAAAGGGAGGTTCGGGGCCGTTGCTGTGGCCCCGATCTGATGCTAGCAGGGGCAGCCCAGAGCCGCCCATCTGCATAGTCCCTAAGGCAATGCCCCCTCCCCAAAGAGATTCTGTATCTTCTCTCTTGACTGCCCTTTTATTAACAAAACCAGACTGTGGCTTTTCAAAGGCATGTAGCAACAAGTGAACACAAATTTGTTATTAGTAAGTACACTTGAGCCAGAAGAAAAAAGGAAGGAAGGAAGATAAAATCATGGGGCAGGTGAAGGGAAGCATGCTTACTCTGTCAAGTTCAAAATTACTGCACCATTTCATAATGTTGTGATCATGTTATATATTGTGGGAAGGGGCACTTGCAGAATGACCATGTATCCCTCCAAATCCCATGAGAGGCTTCCACAATATCATTCAAGGTTAGTCTTCTCAACCTTGGTGCTCTTCAGACCTGTTGGTACAAGCTCGTACCATCTTTAAGACAGTATGGCTATTCAACATTTGCAGACCTTTGCAGGATTTAAAAGATGACTGGGCCCCTTTTCAAGTGTCTAGGAAGCTGATATTGGATAACAAAAGAATATTAGCAATAGCTATCATATACCCTTGACCGAAAAACTGTACACTCCTTCTATCTGGGATGGTTGTCCTCTTTCACCAAACGCGTAGCTTTGGGAGGGACACACAAGGAGCGGTGAGGGAGGAAGGGGACACCCACCTAGCCAGCCAGATCAGCCAAATCAACCCTGGCGATCAATGGGGTGGCAGATGTCACAGCCAGATCACCCTTACATCCGAATATTATCAATAAATATATGGATACTTTTATTATCCAATTTCATATAGACTGGTTATCAGATTAAACTACAACTTCATATTATAATATTCACCAGGAGAGAGTTAATGCCATGGGAAATATATTGGGTTTTAAAAT